GCCAGAGTAGCCTCACATACAGGTTGGGATTTCCTCTTCCTTTTTCTTGATGTGCTGTGTTGTTGATTTATTAGCACTGAACTTATGGCCAACAGTACTATAACTCATGACTGAAAGGAGCTTATTGAACACATATATTCTCTGTAAGGCACACCACAGCTTTTTGCCCTTGGGAACACTAGACAGAACTTTAACACTATGCTTGGGGGCCATCTTAAACAGCAAAATCACCAACAAAAAGCACAAAAATGGGGGAAACATGGCATAAACAGATCACAAAAGGACATTTGTTTAGAGTTTGAGAGCTGAGACGAGAAAGCAAAGTGTCACCTTGTTCGACCTTAACTGAGAACATGTGCATTGGGCAACTCAAAATTTTTGCTGCTCTGAGCAAGTCCATAAATTATCATGAAAGTGCTGTGAGTATTGATTTGGGGGTTACAAATAAATTTTAATGAGGAGGCGAATTCACACATAAGCTATCTGTGAATAACGAGGATCAACTGTACAACTAAAATATTGCACAGAAATTGCATGAACATGGGAGAGTGGCTCAGAATTAAGGCATTCTAAAGTCCTTAAGTTGTTCAGGAAGAGAATACTTATAGTAACTAATGTTTAATGTTTAAGATAAATATGCATTAAAAGAATAAAAATAGTGTGTTTCAAAAGAATAAAAAGAATGTGTTTTACTTCAAACAATAACAACCAGGTGTCATTTTATACCCAGCAGACTGGCAAAAATTAAAATGAGATAACATCAAGCATTGGTGTGAGTATTTGCAAAACAGAACACATATATTGCTGATGGAAATATAAATTGACACAACCATTTTGACAAAAGTTTGTCAATAGATAAGAAGGCTTATGATACGTATTTTAAAATGTGGTACCCAGAACTGAGTGGAATACGACATACATGAATCAGTTAACTCAGAGTAGAGTGTACTGTTGACTCCTATGACTTGAGGTGGGTTCTGACTTTGCACTCACTCCACAACAGTCACATTCCAATGTGTCAACAGAAATTTCTAGATATATCTCTAAGCCAGAGCTTCCTCAATCTATTATTGGAAAGGTAAGGTTTTGGATCTAAAAATAGGTTTTCCATACACCAAGCGCTCTGCATCTATCTCCCACCATCCACTTCACCCTCTTAGCTCTGCCTGCATAGCTGCCACCACCGTCAGGCACCCAGGGAAGGCAAAGACCTTGTAAAGCTTACAGAGGAGGTGTGAAATGCCATGCGGTCCTGATGGGAGCTCTCCCCTTTGCCATACTATCTTCTCCTCCTTTTAACCCAGGACACATTCAGCTTCTATGTTTTTGATCCCAGCTTGAAGATTGTTTTTAAATTTGTGTCAAAAGTTTTAGCTCCTAATTGTTAATAACATCTACTCTTTTAGACATGCTGAGCCCTTTATCTTTGTTTGTGCAAAAAGTCAGGCACCTCCAGAGCAATGACATCATCAGAGACCCTGCAGGTTTAGCAATGTCAGAGGGAGACGGAGTTTGGGCAGGGCAGAGAGAGACTCACTCACTGTTAGCCCTTGGTGCCAGCCTTTTACTACTACTTAGGCAAAGGTGGAGTGAGAGCAAGTGCTGAATCATCTAGAAGATTCTTGGAGGTTATTTGATTGAGATAATACAAATAGAACACTATACAGATACACACACACACATATATGTATATGCACACACACACACAGGAGAGAAATTCAAGTTACATTAAACAGTACTAACCTCTACTCGATGTATTCTGATATTTTCTATTTTATTCTGTGCAATGTCATCCCATCCTATCCCATCTCATTCCATTCCATCCCATTCTGTTCCTCTTTTTTAAACTGTTGATCAAAACACACTGAATTGATTTCCCAACCCCTCAACCCTCAGTTTGGAGAACACTAGGCTAAAGGAAAAGGAACATTCTCAAATTTAAGACAACCAACCACTGTACACCATTAACGTTCTCTGACACATGTGAATGGACAACAACAGCCATTCAGATTTTTGAGGAAGGCTGATAATATAAAAGAGAGAGACCAAAATGGGGAGGAGAAATGAGAGAAAGAAGTGCGTGTGTGTGTGTGTGTGTGTGTGTGTGTGCTGGAAGTGGTAACATTTTTATATACCATAATAGAAACTAATAATAAATGTCTAAAATTGATACATCAAGTATTAGCAGCATAAACGCATAATTTAGAAATATAGAGACAAATGCTTTTCTAAACTGAAATTGGTTACTTTCAAGAAGTAAGACTGGTGAATGGAAAAACGATAGAACAATGGACTTCTATTTTTCAATAAAACCTTTTTAATATTCTAATTCTTTTAGTCATATACAATATCACTGCAATAATTTTTTTTAATTTAATTATATTGCAGGAAACTTTTGTCGTTAGTTCCAATAGCACTCTTTCTACCTCTTTTTTCCTCATTATGCCAAACATGCAGTCCCTAATTCTAACTGACTTTCCCTGTAGCCCCCCTCCTAGTTCAATTTGTACCCCCTGTCAAGTACTGCCCCTGGGGTAGGATTGCACAGAATTAAGTGTTCAGTAATGCAAATACCATTTCTACCATATTTTTTTTCTGCATTCATTTACAATTTAAACTATCTCAACCATGGTAAAAAGCAGTACCAACCAATGAAAGTATTTAAATGATAACTAAGCCAAGAAAGGAAACATTCTGTGGATTGGGGGCACCTTTTCTGTCCTAGCAGTTTCTAAATATGCAGGTGGGTTTATATTTACATTTTTTTCTTTGAGGGGAGGTCTTTTCTTTGAACCAGCCCATGCGCATGGAACCTCTCATGCACCCATCAGGAGACTGAACTTGCCGTCTGTTCTATCGTAATACCAGGGAGGACATTAGTTACGAACACTCTGGCAGCCCCAATTCCCAAATACTTTTCACTTAAGAATCATTAAACATTTTGCAACAGACTTCTTGGAGAACAGCACAACAGCTTCTCTGGCAGCTTTCTTGGTATCCCTCAATGGTTATTTTAGTTCCTCCATCTAAAAACAACAGCATAGCAGGAGGAGGAGAACACATGGGCTCCCCGTGGGGCCAGAACTCTTCTTTAAAATTGCCAAAAGATCCAGCAACAGCTGTGCCCATTGGAAGACAACATCAACTTGTGCAACCCACCCAGGCTCATCAAACTAAGAAGGATCAAGTATAATCAGCCTCTTGAATGGTGACTTGGATTATTTTGCAGGAAACGACTGAGATGAGCCATCTTCCTTCTTTTTCCCTCTCTGTAGAGACAGGGGAGTGTCTGTTTGGGAGTGTCCCAAATCCTGGGTTAAAACTCAGTCCTGGGGCTGGCCCTGTGGCCGAGTGGTTAAGTTCGCGCGCTCCACTGCAGGCGGCCCAGTGTTTCGTTGGTTCAAATCCTGGGCGTGGACACGGCACTGCTCATCAAACCACGCTGAGGCAGCATCCCACATGCCACACTAGAAGGACCCACAATGAAGAGAATACAACTATTCACTGGGGGGCTTTGGGGAGAAAAAGGAAAAAATAAAATCTTTTAAAAAAGAACTCAATCCTGCTAATTCTAGGAAAAAGAGTATGACAGTGGCACCTTGCAAAGCAATTCCATTGGAGGGGTCATGGATGACTTGGACAGCGAGGTGTCACCTGCCCAGATGAGGCAAGACGAATGGAGATGGTACTAGGTTGGAAATCAGGACAGCTGGTTCGTGATTCTGCTCTGCAGAACCTCACTCACTGTGTAACCTAACGTGGAGCCATTCAAGTCTCTGCAGCCCCCATTTCCTCAGCTAAGTAACAGAGACAGTAATGACTGCCCCACCTTGCTCATGGATGACATGTGAAAGGGATCTATATAAAGCACAAGGTCTTACACAAGTGGGGTCATTAAGAAAATTTTGAAACATAATTTTTGACACTAATGAAGGTTCCTCTCTGGGATTAAGAAGAACAGACCCCAGACTGCAATTTTTTTCTTGTAGTGCAAAGAAAGGCAATCGATATGCAGACTCCTCCACCGCTCATAACCCAGCTGCCTCCCTACTCAGGCCTCTCATTTCCTGTCCCTCAGGGTGAAACTAACCACCCTCCCCACCTCCTAGACCCATAACCAATACAGTATCCTTTATTCTCTTTCTTGTGACACCCAGAAAGTCAGCCACCAACTGATCTAGAAGCTGTCAATTCACATGACAGAAGCACCAGGTAAGTCACATAAACCAGTGAACCAGCCTGGGAGTTGGGAAATGTGCCCAGCCAGAAATGACTTACATCATCTCAGGGGCCGCCACTACTCGACGCCTGAAGCTGCCAGGTCGTCCAGTCTCTCTGAAGAAGACAGAAATCGAGTTTTATGAGAAATCTTTGGATGCTGAAAGGTTAACTGATAATTTTTAAATGTTTGAGACATCATGAGACCAAACCAGAAATATGTGTGCATGAGCTGAGGGTTTGCAACCTCTGATCTAGGTTAACCTGTTTTTGCACAAGTAAATATCCTCCAGCCCTAAAAAGAAGCCTAGTGTAGTTCAAAGACTATGTCCTTGGAGTCAGTGAAGACCAGAGCTCAAATCTCTCATCTGCAGGTAATTTGCTGTATGACCTTGAATAAGCTTCTTATGTTTTGAACTCCAGTTTCCTCAACTGTGAAAGGGAGTAATTATATATCCTCCTTAAAGTTTTTGGAGGAAAAATGTAAGATCATAGACAATACATGAAAATTACCTGGCACATTAACAGGCACTCGATAAGTGTCTCCTTTTCCCTCAAGGCCAGCAAGTTAGCGGCATAACTATGCAAGAACTCACAACCCTACTATCTCCTGAATCCAGTTCAGTCTTTTCCCCACTGTTCCCAGTGTTTCCTTGCCTCTCTAGCTCTCATTCTCAGAGATATGAGGTCTGATTTACCCTGAAACCTGAGCACAGGACTAGGACTTTAGACATCTGCTCTCAGATTTACCTCTTTTGCCAAGAACAAGCCCCACCACACTCTCCAAGTCTCAATTTTATTCTACAGAACAAAAGTGACATCCAGTGAAAAATGAAACAATACATCTGTGTTATATTATCCTAAATCACGTAGGCCCATTAGGAAAACCCAGAATGCCCACGAGTCTGGGATCAGCCTCTGATTCGTCATTTCAACACCTAAGGAATTTGCTTTAAAATTTAGGTTTTATTAGTATTCAGATATGGTGAGGCCAACAGATCAAGAGACAATTGCCATTGAAAACACAGCTTGCTTCTCATAGTTCCCAAGATGGGGGAACATGCCATTCCATGCAGGGCCACATAGGAAGCACCAGGGTCAGTCAGGAGGCAGAGGGAGTGAGGGGGAAAAGTAGGCAAGAGAGTCTATTGTGGTTTCTGCAGGAAGGAAGGAGCGAGGCGAGGTAAGCAGGCTTAGGCTGGCTAGTTTGAATCATTTCATGGGGCTCTGGGGCATAGAGACTATCTCTAGTTGTCTGATACCTGGCTCCAGGATGACAAGGGCAGGGAAACAGTAGTCCCTGTGAGAGCTGATTGTTTAGTTTGCATTCAAAAGGTGTGCTTGTAGGCAAGTCCTTCACTATCTCTAGGAATTGGCTAGCCCTGGGCAGGGCGGTCCCACCTGGATCAGCAAGGCCCCAGATGTCAAAGCATTAGAAATACAGAAAATATAAAGGCATGGTTAATACAGGATGTTCTCAAATCAGTATTTGCCCCCTCTACACATCACTGGAACGGTATCAGTATGTCGAGGAGAAGGCTTCCATAACAGGCTCCCAATAGAAGAAAGAAAGAGGGAAGATGTGTTACTAGAAGACTCCACAGGGAAAGGCCCCTGGCATGGGAACAGAAGAAGAGAAGGTCAAGGTGCTCAGAGGGGAAAGGCAGTGGGAGATTAGTGCACCCCCGAGCCCAAAGCACGGTTAGGCATGCTGCTAAGAAAGAAAAGGGTTTTTTTCCAGGTAAGCATGGTTCATGGCCTCAGTCTCTAACATCCTGGGTACTCTCTCTGAAGCTAAATGAAGCCCCACTCCCTCTGAGAGGAGAAAATTAAATTTGAATGCAGAGATTGCAATGGAATGAAGATGATTCTGGTTGAGCGCATTGACCTTTATCAACTATTTCATCCGAATTTCTGGAGCATGAATCTGCGTGAGGCGTCCTCTGCAATGGTTCATAGGAAGAAGGATCCTTCTCTTCTGGCTCAAGTCCAAGCCATCATTCTCCAGCATCCCGATATGGGGAAAGCAAAATCAAATCCACAGAGTTCTGAAATCCAGTTAGGGAACAGTTGTAGGAGACAACGAAAATAGCAGTCAGGCAGCATCAATCTCTAGAGAGCACTGCTTTGCTTCCAGTGACTGACTGAAAAACAATTACACTCCTCAACATTCCTCCAACTGAGACCTGGATTCAGTACGAGATAACATACAAACTGCCAGTTTGAGACGCTTCTTTCAGTTCGACCAGATAATCAGGAAACGCAGACATACGCAAATTAGGCAGACATATGCAAAGCCACACTTATAAAAAAGGCAAAATGCTTTTAAAACCAGATGACCAGGATTTTTAGGACTGGACAGCATTTTACTATTTAAGAAAAAATATTTTTATTTGCAAGAAATGGAAATACAAAAGCATAACAATTCCAATTCATTTTCCAAACTAAATACAAGTACTCTACGAAGCTTTTTTTTTTTTTGTATTTATTTAGCTATGATAAAGAATAAAAAGCCATAAAGAACAGCACAATATGACAGATAATAGACTCAGAATGTATTTAGACTTAAACACTGCTGGTCTATATAACCTGTTACAAAAGAGAAGAAAACTCAGCCTGTCAGCGTATTATTAAAGCTCACGGTTGATTATAGCCCAGGGCCTGCTCAGCATTGTTTAAAAAGGGTCACTCACAATTTGTCAAAGACTGCTGGTGTTTTCCATTGACTCACAAAGCGTTCTATCTGAAAGGGAGATTTTTCTAAACTGTGTAGGCCATGGGTCCATGGTGCAAAAAGTTCATGTTTTTGTACTATGGACCCAGCTGGTGAGCAAAGGATAAGAGCAGAGAAAGAGAGCTAAAACTGCTGGTTTTTCTTTTCCAGGATGCAAAGCCTGCTAGCTGGAACTCACAGAAGACTGGATGAACAACACAGGAGATAAGCATCTGGTGGCCATCTCCAGCATGAGGCAAAGAACCAAGCATTGCACAGCGGGGCCAGCACAGGGAGCAGACACTGCATTTCCCGCCCAGAGAACCTTAAAGTTTGTAGGGTGTTCACAGATAGGAATCCATTCACCCTAATCCACAAATTGCTGCACTTCCCATGACACTTAGCTGTTTACTCATCTCATAGTAACTAGTTGCCCTTGTTTTCTCTTTCTATAAAATTGAAAGACTTAAACTTATTTAGCACAACACCCAGCACTTAGTAAATGCTCACGAAATATTATTCCCCTTCCTTCTAGAAACCAAGACAAAATAAAGCATTCCTGAATTTTATGTTGCTCAAAATCACAAAACAAAATAACGCCTAGTTTTTTCCTGTGGCAAGTGATGATCCCTTGGCCACAGAGGCATCGACCATTCATCTTCAAATGAGCCAGGTTCCTTTGCACTGAGAAAAATGTTCCGCTATGAGAATTTATAATATCTTTAATCCCGGCTGGCCATTTTTGATGTGATTGCACTTCTACTAAACGGGATTTTCCTCATGGGCAGAACCCCATGTCTTTTCTCCTGATGTGCAAATCTGATCATGGTTCACTTTTAGGAAACCATTTTTGAGCCTTTTGAAACAAGTTCCTTCTCCCACACCCACTTCAATCGAATTCTGCAAGGCTATCTATAAAATCTCCCAGGGACAAAGGAGTCCTTGGTCATCCTGGATTCATATATAAGGCACATGTAAGGCACAAAGGAGTGTCCAAGACAAGGAGGAATGTGTGTGTGTGTGTGTGTGTGAGAGAGAGAGACCTAGCTCTTGTGTCTTTTGAGTATCTATTGATCAATGAAGTTTCCTCAGCCCCCTTATTCCTCAATAGTCCCTAGGGCCTCATGCAGCACTCTTCCTCAGGAGTGAGTGACCGACTCATTGAATGAATGAATGAATGAATGAATGAAAAACCTGAGATCTGTCTCTGGCTCCTCCATAGCCCCGACTCTCTGCTGTAACTGCCCTCCCAGAGGGGTTTATCCTACCCCATGTCTCCTAATTGTCTTTGCTGCAAAGCATTCACATAATTGGATTCTCACCAGGGCACTGCCTGTTCACGATTCCACAGGTCCAGCCAGCACTGCAGGCATGAGTGCTGGTGTCTTTAATGAAACTTCTCAAAGACTGCATTCAACGGAACCAAACTCCTGACTCCTGCAGACGAGGGGAGGCTGAAAACCTTCTGCTCCACCTCCGATCTACCCATGTTAGCAAGACTGGCATGGATGGTGCATTTCCTCAACAGGGGGCGGGATGTCTCCATTTGCGCCTCCTGTTCAAGTACACATCCCATAGGACATGTGTGTTCAGGCGAGCTGGCCCTGGGAGGGCCTGTCTTTCTGGTTTCGGTTGGTCTGAGGACATGGGAGGAAGAAGCCATGAAATGCTGAAAAATTTTAATGAAACGCTTGTGACAAAAATCCTGGACACCAGCTCACTGCCAGAATGAAGACAAATCAATCCAACACTCCCACTCTACAGGCACATGAGATTCACAGCCCTCTTCTGGCATTCAGGCTAAACCGAGAGATTTAGGAAGCAAAAAACATGGTATTTACAGCTGGTTTGTAAACAAGTTGAGCTAAAAGCCACTTTCACAACCTACAAATTAAGTCTCCAAATCAAAATCATTTACATTAACCAAAAGGTTATCGAATTTTGCCTACACTGGTGTCAAACCTCACTCCCACCTCCTGCCCAAAAGGAGCAACTTGGTCCAGCTGTCCGATTTTTATATAACACTCTCTTTCTGCGAGCTAGGCTCCAGAGTCCCAAAGCTTCACAGAAACTCCTTCTTCAAACTGGCCCCGAGGCCTTTCGTTTGCAGTATCCATTTCTAAGTGCAAAGCCGAGAACTGTGAAAAGAACCACGCTGGGGGGTCTGGGTTACTCAGGTCTCCTCCAGCAAAAAAGCATTTGTTCTCTGAATTTTTGCAAGACATCTCCTTCACTAGGGTAATCAATGAAAGGCAAGAAGAAAGCTTGTTTACATGATGAAAAATATAACTAATCTATATTTTAACTAACATATTTATTCTTTATGGCTTATGGTCGTGCTGACGGTCTCGTATTTTTTGAAACTGAAGTTTGGAAGCCGACGTCTGCTACTATTTGGAATCATCGAGACTAAGGGGTGTGACTGACTAGTCTATGGGACTGCTCTTGGGGGAAAACAAATTTGCTGATATTCAGGGCTGAACCCTAGAACAGAAGACGTGCACCCATCCATTAGTTATTTGACACAATTTGGTATTATTCAACTCTTCTGTGCCCTCTTGACCTCATTACGTCCTCCTGAAGAGATAACTGTTTAGTTTCCTCTTCTCACCCACGCAAGGAGAAGAGGGCAGAATGTCGGTTCTTAGAACCCCCTTAAAATGGCCACTTGAGCTCTCAGGCTGGTGTCCCAGGTCCCTAGAAAACAGATTCAGTTCTGGAAGAATAGTTTCCCAGAGAGAAAACCCTGCTCTTGGAGGTCTGGAGAGAGTGAGATCAAGCATAGGTAGGAGGGGAGAAAAACGAAATCCTCGAGCTAGAAGGAGCTAGAAGCTCACCGCCCTTCCCCTCCTCCTTCATTCTGAAGAGCAGGTTTTCCACTCTGGCTAATCCAGGAGCCTTAAAAACCCCATTTGGTTCAGTTGTGGCAGGTGGGCAGGCTGATCCATTCTCACAATTCTGCCCCTAAATATGAAACCTTTCCCTTCTCATTGTCCAAATACTACTTGAGTTAATTCTATCGTTTTGCCTCCTTAGGCCCCCACAGGCTGCCTGTGCCTGATACTTAAGCCCAGGAGGACCTAGAGCAGAACAGCGGGAGAGAAGGAAGTAGACAGAAGCAGGTGTGGGGACGGGGCGGGGGGCGGGCTAGCATCCCCTCCTCGCACACAGCTCAGGCGGTCTCAGCCCTCCCTGACCCACGCAGTGGACAGTGAGGACCGTGCAGACAGCAGGGCTGCCAGGACCAGTGCAGTCCCGATCTGCTTTCACACACTGCCGAGAAGATGAACTTGGCCATCTCCCAGTCTGGAACTCTCTCCATCACCGCAGGCAGAGAGAGGAACCACTCGCAGTGAGCCCCAAGTGTACCTAGGCAGACAAAGCAGGGATCTGCTTACGAGGTATCATGGCCAATGTTAACGACACCAAATCCTGGATCTGATATGGAAGGGAAGGCCCAGGCATGGGCTTAATCCCTCCTAAGTAAAGCTTCCAATGACAATGCAGTTGGTGGGTCGAGTTAAAGGCCCTTCAGCTAGTACTAAAAATAAAATACAAAATGTAAGCAAGTTCCCTATACAAAATCTTTTACAAGCTAAGGAAAAACATTTAAGAGGAGTATCTACATTATACAATAAAAAGGCAATTTCCATTTCTTATTCGTATGAAAAAGGAAAGATTTTTTTAAACTACAAAAGTTACTTTAATCATTAAAAACTATAAAAGTAGGTTGGGGGTTAGGTTGTATCTCTTTGGGTGAGCTGTGAAGTAGCCAAACCTGACTACGGAAGGTAAGACTGGAGACACGAACGCCACCTACTCCGACCCCAGGCCTCAGGCCCACCCCTGTGTTGAGGCAGAAGAGGAGGAGAAAGCAGAAGAGCCTGGGGAGGTGGGCAGGAGGGACCAGGAGCAGGCGTGGAGAGACAAGCCAGCAAGGTTGCCGAAACGCCTGTTGTCAGGGCCAGGGCTTCCCTTCTCTGTTAGGGGCACAGGACAGAAAAAGCCTCTGGCCACAGAGCCACAGGCCTGAGCACGGCACTGCTACATCTCTCCCTCCGCGTTCATTCCATCGGAGGACACAGGCGTAAGGGGACTTCCCAACTGTAATCCCAGGCCTCCAGTAAAAAAAAAAAAAAAAAAAGGAAAAAGAAAAGGAAATGAAACATGGCCTAGAAAGATTGGGGGTCCCAGAGCCCAGGGTGTCCTCCTAGCTCCAAAGGCCAACAGCAGACTTCGCTGGCTTGGAGGGAGGCATCAGATCTCTTCAGTGTGGTGGTGCAGGAAGCCTCAGCAAGCTAATAAATACTATTTACAAATGGGGAGGAGAAGCCGGGGAGGCAGAACTATGGGATGTGGGGACACAGGTTATGGAGAAGTCCTACAAGCAATAAGATGGGGCAGGTTTGCCTGGAGTAGAAGAGCCTGATTCCTTCAGGCATTGCACGTGCGGCCTGAGAATATGAAGGGGGAGCCCGCGCTCCAGTGCCGGGAGGACATCGGTGAGGGCTGGAAAGGGCATGGCGGCAGGGGGTGCTCACTGGAGGCCCTGGCCTTCCAGGGTTGATGGGGGTGGACACACCAGAGACCCAGGCTGAGGAAGGCAGGACATCTGTCGGGGCTTTGCCAGATCCCAACAGGCATCCTGGTGTCTTTGTGGCGAGAGTCTGGGGTCTTAAATGAACAACAGTCATCTTTTCTTCAAAGAGGTGGTCAAAACCTCCCAGGTGAGAACCAGGCGGCATCTTTTTGGCACTATCGGTAGAAACAAGCCGGCTTGTCCCACCCCTGACCCTAAAATAACTTTCTATGGCAGTAAGCGGAAGGGAGGGAGCGATGCCAGACCCCCTTCTGCAGAGGGGGACATGGGGCTGCTGCTGAGGAAGGTGCCGTCACTGCAGGTGGAAATCGTAGGCTGTCCTTCCATCCAAAGCCACGACTGCTCGTACATGTCTTCATCCAAATTGGGTGACAAAAAGAAAAAGCTTATGACCAAGGTGGTTTGGGGACATAAAAGTAGAGTGAAGAGAAAGGAGGAGGTGGGGACTGCCTCTTTAGAAGGTGGCGTTCACTCTTCTGTCGAGTTCTACAACTTTTAGTGTTTCGTTACCCTCCAATTTGGCACTGACCCTGTGAAGGCAAGGAAAGGAAAAAGAAGTATTAGCCACCACTGTCAACTATGATCTTCATGCTTGGTCGACTAACGCAATCAGTCCGTGACTGCAACTTTGCCGGCTGCCCCAAGCAAGTTCCTGTCCTTCCCCTTCCTGGCAGCAATCCTCTGTCCCTGAAGTCTCTCACTACCAGCCTATCCACTAGTCCACATTCCTGCCTTCCTCCTCACCCAAGAGGAGACATCCCCAGCCAGAGGATAAACATGGCGGTTTGATACTGAGCTGTCATAAAAGACTTTAAATTATTGTATTTACCGAGGATGGTTAGTCCCATGCTAGACTCTGGGAAGAGAAAATAAAAGGATAAAAGCTGGTCCCTGGTCTAGAATAGCTATAATCTAGATAAAGATTAAAAAAAAAAAAAACTCGAAATAAGAATAAATATGTAACAAAATAAATGTTATTAAATGTAATATAAACATGTTATTAAATATAATGTAAATTAAATGAATGTAAATATGTTATTAAACAGCCTAGAAAGTCTCTCGGCATTCAGAGGAGGGCTATGAGGGCTTTGTTATCCAGGAGACATCCCAAAACAGGTGGGATTCCAATAGGACCTTGAATAGCTGAGCTGAGAGGGAAGAAGACTTCTTTCAGGAGCCAAGAAACCAAGCAGCTGAGTCTTTTCACTAGCTCCCAGTGGCAGCACTACAATTTCTTTATAATGGGAATAATAATAATAATGCTTAACCTCTTAAAGTATTTAAAAGGATTTATATATCATATTTGCATAGTGTTTAAAATAGTAAGCACTAGTAAATGTTAAATATGCATGTACAAGGCAAACATAGAAAAGTATAGATAATTATGAACCTTCTTCCTTTGTAGCATTAGGAGAAGAAAGCTGAAGAATTTGAAACAATCTCTCCCACTTGCGTTGGAATAGCATCATTTCTGGGTAGCAGAGAGTTCAGCTAGATCACCAACCACACCACTCACAACCAGGAGCTGTGCATGCAGACCCTCCTTCCTGATCTGTCTGACATTCCCAGGTACCTCCCCTGGCACAATAACAATACTGGCAGTCACACAAGCCTTTATGTTTACAAAAAGACTTTTCCCCATAACGATCTCAGGGAAACAACTCATGGAGAATTGGAGCCAAGTATATGTTATTTTCAACATGGAAACACATATGCATAGTGTCTCTCAAATGAGGTTCCTCAATACAAATATCTAATTATAAATATGTGATTATATTGGGGCTGGCCCAGTGGGGCATTGGTTAAGTTTGTGCACTCTGCTTTGGTGGCCTGGGATTCACAGGTTCAGATCACAGGCATGGACCTAGCACCGCTCATCAAGCCACATTGTGGAGGCATCCCACATACAAAATAAAGGAGGATTCGCACAGATGTTAGCTCAGTGAGAATCTTCCTCATGTACAAAATATATATATATATGTACTTATAATTATTAATATATGTTTATTTACATACAAATCATAAAACTATATATTGATTTATAGCATAATATCCATGTATCTATAATTAGAAGTCAAGAAGGTATCTTGAGGCTGCATTTGCATAGCAAGCACACTGCCGTTACTGGGCTGTATGTTTACTTGAGTGGCTTTGAGGGGAGGTTGAAGATAGCAAGGAAGGGATTCAAGCCCTCTGCCCACTTCTTGGAGCCATCACTGCCAGCTCCCTAATGACGCAGCAGACATGAGGGGAGCTCATATTAGGTCTTTTCCCCATCTCTGCTAAGGGCAGCTGTTGGTAAGCAGTGGATTCTCCAGGGTCCTTGGTCCTGAGAACAGGTCCTGAAAGAGCTGAGGGACTGGACTAGGCCAGTGGGAGAATCTCCACCCCACATTCCAGGTTGCTGACTCATAAGCCATCATCTGTGCATCAGAGGAGTGGAATCTGTATCCGTTTGACTCACAAGTGCTGCTGCAGCTCCAACAGCACTGACTTCTCCAGGCTGGTCTCATTCGAGAGAATGAAATGAGGAAGATCCACGTCTGGCCTGGACTCCAGCCCTGAAGCCCTGAGCAGGGAGGAGCCTCGGTCCCAGTGCCCAAGCTCCCCGGCCGAGCCTGGGGTGGACGACTCCTCCAGGGGAGAGTGTTCCTCATAGATCAGCAGGTTCCTGGATCTCACTGAGGACAGAGCAAAGTAACAGATATTAGCAAGAGACCACAGGGGCACACCACGTCCTGCCACTCAGTGCCCAGGGCCGGGGGCAGATGATGACAATTCGTAGGTTCTTCTTGCCCAGGACTGAGGGTACCAACTGGAGCTGGCTTCCTATAAAGCCTTCAGGGTTTTAGAGTTTTCTGCATTGAAAAATTATACCAATTATACACTGCTGGGAAAACAAGAGAAAAACAAATAAACACGAAGCAAACTGCTACCCCCCTGCTTTCAAAATAAAACTCGCCTCCGTGTCCACCCATAACTATCTGGGGGAGACAATTCACGGGGAATGAGAGTCGAACACTTGGAGATGTCTAGACTCAGCTAAAATAAGAAGCATGGAGAGAAGGTACAAGGGCAGAAAACTGCATTTTCATTTAGAAACTGGAGAGAAGACGCAAAGCCAAGGCCATAAATCAAACGATGGAGACAGTCCCTTTTGTTTTATAGGATAGTTGCATAACTAGACGGCTCTGTAGCAATTTTCCACAACATAGAGACTATGTTTCCATTGGCTTCCATTTAAATTTAGAGACATATTCCATTAGGAAAAAAAAGAATGTCCCAAGGGACCACTGAAATTATTTGGTTGAAATGCTAGCATTTCAGTCATATACCTGGCAGGGATACACCTGCCTGGTGAAGACCACAGGCCTTTCAGAACTGCAAAACTGTGCCTACCCTAAATCTGATACCCCCTAATTCCACACTTGATCCTATTAGTGTATATGTGTACTAGCGCATACATTATGATCCCTACACACATTTATTTCCTACATTATTCAGAGACCATTAATCTAGGGAAGACTATCACGTACTTCTTGTCTAACATCTGAGTCTCCAAATTCTCCAAATCTTGGGCATAATGTTTTGTAAGACAGATTGATTCTTTAATGCCACTTTGCAAATTCTTACCATAATAATACACAATTCCACTGAGTGGGAGCAGAAATATAGGAATTCCCTTAAAGTGTCATGGAAAGCTTAACACTTCCCCACACTTTTCCCTTCCAAAAGCCACATCTCTTCCCCTTAACAGAACTGAAAGAGGAGACATCAGAATTTGCCAGGGAACATGGTCTAGAGCAGAAGTTGGCAAACTGTGCTTTATTGATCTCCAGAGAATTCCCAGAGGTGCCTCAGCCCAGTGGTTGAAGGCACATGGGGAGACCCAGCAGCCTGGGCACCAGACCCCCACGTGCCTCGTGCTTCCCTTCAATGGAGAAATTACACTTTTATTACTTTTTAAAAATTAGACTTTCATATAAGACTCCCTTCAGAAAGTTGAGCTTTCAGAAAGCTCCAGAGAAATGAAACAAGACACTTCCCAAGTTGTTGAGTGCTGTCTTACCAACGGAGGCTGTGTACGGCTCCGACATGGAATTCTGGCTGGGCAGAGCCATCTTGGTGGCAGAAGGATAGGGCCCGTAGCCCTGAAAGAAGCTGCCAAATGCAACGGCAAAGCATAACACAACGACCTGCAGGGTGAGGGAGAACACGGAGAGCTGTCAATTGCAAGATCCACACAGCAAACCTTTAGACCTGCACCACCTGGGAGGTCCAGGGAGACAGACCTCCCGCCATCAGGCCAGCAGGCTGCACCCACAGGCCAATCGCTGTAACATCGCAGCAGAGAAACAGCCTGGGAGTGAGCGGCATGGTTCCTCCAACCCCACAGCACTCGGACTTGTCAAGTTGCGGAGAGACAAGCTTGGGGAGCGGGCCAGGACAGTTACGGTGCTGTTCCTTTCGGAAACTCACCATGAGGCAGGTGCCAGTCTGCGTGCCGGCCAACTTGCAGGTGCGCGAAACCTTGCCCATGACCAAAGTCTGAAGCTTCTGTAGTTGCTGCAGGAGAGTTCTGCAATTCAAGAAATCAAAACCATGAAGGAAATCTGAGAGAGAAGAGAATGCTTTTGGGTGATCTCTGCCCCTGTGCTCCAGGGATGTTGCTGGGACTTCGTGCCTGAATTGGAACAGAATACCAGGGAGTGTTTCCTTTGGAAGAAGATGCAGACGGCAGCGCCTTCCAGCATCAGTGTTGCAGAGCTTCCCGGGGCTCAGAATCAGCCCACTTTAACAGCTTGTCCAGTCCCTGTGCTGTCCTCAGTAAGAGGTGAATGTCCCAAATTAGCCCTGACGTGCCGGGACTTGTCTGTCGGCCATTGAGAAAAAAAGAAAAAAGAACATGAGAACAACTGAAGAGGTGGCCAGAGATGGTGGCCGTGACTGGAAATGGCAACAGTATCACTGAGCAACGGGCACTCAGGTGGCAGATTGGAAGAGAGAGAGAAAGAGGGAAAACAAGAACGGCAGGGAGGCAAACAGCAAAGGGCGCCTCAAGCCCCTGGTCCTTGAAGGCTCATAGTACCTCCACAGCCAGAGACAAAGGCAAAACAACAAAGGGAGAACAGGCCTGCTCAACTGGACACATGCTCAGAGCCAGGCATCCTGAAAACCATCTTGTGATACAGACTCTGATCTTTCTCCAGGAAGAGACAGAGAGCAGGAGAAAAAAGAGTTGTTCTGGCCCTACAATCGGGTGTGTGCATACCCTTAAAAGGGAAGGGTTTGGGACAAGAATAGTATATTCTGCTCTGTGTGACATCAAGCCGCAGAAAGAGCAGATGGGGAAATTCTTTGCAAATTCTGAACACTGCAAACCACAGAAAAGGATCTCACAAGACACCCGCCTGAATCACCCTCGCGATGAATTCTGCCTGAGCAAAGACTTGAGGCCCCTCCTCGGCCTCACCCCTCTTCTCTAAGCCAAATGCACATGGCAAAGTGGGAAGATTTTACAAGCAGATGCTTTTTCTCATGTCTCGAAGATTTTCAGAAAATTCATGCTGTGATGTAACATTGGAAAGCCAGACAAGTTCACTGGAAAACATCAGCAAATCACTCACTTGCAGAAGAATCCTGGGCTGCCATAGATAACTTGCCTCTCACCGGAATCCATCTCCTGAAGAGCCTTCAGATGCCAGAAGAAGCAGGGTTTCCTAGTGTATCCAACTTCCGTCCGGCAAGTGCCAATGAAACGAGTTCTCCTGGGCTTCAGGCAGTTAAGGACAGGTTGGGACCGAATGATACTGCTTCCAGCAGTGAGATGGATAAGAGTGGGGCAGCACTGGAGTAGCCCCCAGCACATGCAGTGGAGGGCTTCTCACTCAGAAACCCTGTGTGGCCACATCCACGTCATATTTTTAGCTTGTGCAGTGATTTTAATTTAAGCAAAACAAAATCGTCATCCTATTAATTAATATCGTTAATTTAAATTCTATTAATATGGAGGTCTTTTTAGTACTTAGTTGTACCTTTTTTGTTTTACGGTTATCTAGAAGTATAATCACATGTAGTTTTGACCTCGTTTGTTTATGCATATTTAAGCCACACAGTCTTTAAAAGCGTTCTGTACATTACTCAAGGCTGAGAAATACTGATGGCATGATTACTTTAAACTCTACTTAAAGAAATTCTGTCATTTGTGACAAGATGGATGACCCTGGAGAGCGTTATGCTAAGTGAAATAAGTCAGACAGAGAAAGACAAATAGTGCGTGGTATCACTTATACGTAGAATCCAAAAAAATGTCGAACTCATAGAAACAGAGTTTCTGGGCTGGGGTGGGGTAGGGATGCAGGGAGAGGTTGGAAAAAGGGTACAAACTTTCAGCTGTAAGATGAATAAAGTCTGAGGACTTAGTGTATAACATGGTGACTATACAATTGATAACACTGTACTGTATAATTGAAATTTGCTGAGAGAGTAAAACTCAAATGTCTTCACCAAAAAATTAAAAATCAAAAGGTAAATATGCAAGGCTATGGATGTGTTCATTAGCTTGATGTAGGATTCCTTTCACAGTGTACATGCATATCAAATCATCACTGTGTACACTTTGAATAGCTTACAGTTTTACTTGTCAATTATACCTCAACAAAGCTGGGGAAAAAGGAAAAAGTTTGCAACTAAATGATCATCTGATGCAGCAAGTTATTTTCCTCATGACACTTTTTCTCTCTCCTCCCAAGAACACTCCATTCCTACCCAGTAGTGCAGCTGTCTTTTCAAAACTGAGAGCTAAGCGACCCACTGCATACCCACTTCCTGGTGAGCATTCATCTCACAGCGCTGAGATTTGGCTGGCAAGAGTATGCATTCTATCGACCACCATCTGTGACGCCAGCCCCAAAGCCCTCACTGGGTTCTCCCTGCTGTATTTCTGGAAGTCCTGGGGCAGATATACAGGTGAGCCTACAGATAAGACCTGCGTTTGACCATGTGACACAAATCCTCTTCCCTTGTATCTTTATATTCTGACCACCTCCCGTGGTACCAGTTTACAAGGTCTTTGTTGCCAGCTAAACTATGGAAAGGAGCCTCCCTGTTTCCTGGGTTGCCTGCTGAAGAGTCGCATCTGTAAGTGATGTGACTGCCACTTTTGCTGGGCACCTCAACTCCCACAGGACACTCCTACTGCTCATGCTGGCAGCCCAAGGTGCTGGAGTTTGACTGTGCTCTGTGCGTAAGTCGGCTCATTTCTCCATCCAGGCCTCCATTAGACAGCAGCTTTCCAGATGTTACCAAAGCCATTTACTTTTGCTCTAAAGTCTTAAGGTGTTTTTAAAGTGAAATCACCATTTCCATTTTTACCAACAGTCCCTTTTTACCCACAATCATCCCACACTTTGTCCCTGCCTATTCCCTGCTCCTTGGCCTGTCTCTAGAGCATGAACCTCCAAGAAAACCAATTCCACACAATACTCAGAATCACTCCTCCCTTCCAATTTCTGGTTGAGATCACTAGGCCTGGTACCCTGTTTCCTAGGATAAAGAGTCTCTCAGCTGGCTCCACGGTCCCTCCTGAAAACAGACCTCTAGCGGGCCAGATACACCTAAACCCCAACGGTAGAATGACTTAGGCTCAAGTTGGGACCCCCAGCTACAGGTGCAAAGTGCTACAAGTTTGGAAGAAGGACCATATAAGTCTGGCTGGGCAATCAGGGAAGGCTGCATGTTTACTAGTTGTGTGGCACTTTACTTGGCATTCATCAGCATATCCTCTCCAAACTCAAAGATAATTATATTCTGAATCCATTGCAAATGAAAATGGTTGTTTAATGGTCCCTGATTTCTAACAGTTTATAATTCAACTCTTTAAGATGAGAAAACATATAGTTTAAAATAGATTTTTTTCTAGCTTGAAATTTGGGCAGAAAGCAACAGTGATTTATAACGTGCTGTTTGCTGCTGCTGCTGCTTCTACTCAGATTAGCGCAGGTGAACCAAACCGATGGGGGAAATGATGAGCCATCAATCAACAACACTGAGTGATTTCACCTGAGGAGAGTGGGTTAGCTCATCCAACCCAAATCTAAATAGATTTCTATGATCTGATAAAGCTTGGGAAATCCATATACACACATACAACAGAAACACTAATTTTCGTCATAAGGAAAGAAAATTAATAGCAATTGAGTGCCCACTGATTGAGTTCTAGAACTTCATACACTAAGATACTAAGTAATTGTCTCAAGTAAGAAGAAGACCTAAGATGTAAACCAAAACCCATCTGACTCCACAGTTCATGTAATTTTCAAGGTGGTACAGATGGTACCTAATCTATAACCTAATAAAATTAATAAGAAAGACTTCTTACTAGTAGATTCTTTCTTAAATCCAGTGACATTAACAGCATATTGACAACAGCCCAACAAAGAGAGATGTCCACCATGAGATATGAAAAGGTGACTATCAACAGGGACCAAGCTGCATACAGAAGAGCCACAATGAGACCCAGTCCAATGGCAATGAGATACATACTAACAAAGGTTCAGTGAAATGATACAAATGAAAACTCTAAGGGCAAACATACATGTCCTGGTTCATCTCTGGATACACCAAAGATAAAAAGTAAGTGATGGATAAAAGAATCAAGGATGCTCCATGCCCTACTTCAAGTGTCAGGAAGTCAAACCTCGGCTTTGGTTAGAAAATGGAAACTAAAAGACCTGTTTTTCTGTCAGACACCAAAACAGCTGATGAGATGGCTTTAGGATTGCTAAACTGGTGCACATTCACTGGAACAGGGGGATAGGCTCTCAAGGCAGAGAAACCTGAGTTTAGATCTCAGTACCACTGCTATGTGCCTTTCATCCTTACTTAAGTCCTGAGTTTAGGCAGCTAGGCAAAGTTAATTCCCTTGACCTCATCAGCTAACAGAATAACGAGAGAATCCCCTCCTGGGCTACTGTGGGTTTGCTGAAGCAAATACACCTTTGAAGAGTGCTTGCTGTCTCTTTGCACTGATGACAGATGAAGCCAGCCCTCTTCATGGGAAAGCCTGGGACCTCATAACTGAGACGTAGGTCTGAGATGATGTGGCACTTTCCCTGATGCCACGGGGACAGATGCCACGGCCTGCTGCGTTGGGAGCTTGGATGACAGCTATTACCCAGCTTGCATGAAAGCCTGGGAGGAGAAAAGGCAGCCATCAGATGAAATGGAAGAATGAGTTTAAAACTAAAGCTTTAAAAAGTCAACCATAGGACAGACCCCAAGGTGCATTCACAGCTCAGCATAAAATTCTCCTTTATTACTGTATTTTAAATCATAAAAGATCATGGCTATTTATGGCTTAATGAATCCTTGGTCTTCCAGGAGCAACGTCTTAATTTAGAGAAAGGAGTACTCTTAGCAAATATTTATCTGGGCCAGGAGATATTTCACAACTTGTTAAATCGGAGTATCTAACACTCAATTGAAAATGTGGATTTTCGTCCTGTGGTGAGATGTAAAAATAAACTTAGTGGCTGTCCTCATACAGTTCCTTGCAAACGAGCAGTGGAAGGCAGCTGC